TGTGCGTTTATATATATTAAATAATTTGACGAATTTCTAATGAATAATTTCAAATATAACTCGAAAGTTAAGCAGAAAAAAAGGAATTAAACCTGACAAATTAAAAAAAAATGCTTATATTTGTTCGGTCTCTTGCATTTAAAAGGGGGCTTTTAGGTGTCACTTCATCATAACACGTAATATACTTCGAACACACGCTAATGTATTTATACAATTCGCACGCTTGATAGACGCCCCGCCTTCTCATTCAAATGCTATAGTACTACAATGGTCTATAATATAGCCGTAATGGCAGAGTTTTACAGTGTAATATGCGACTTTATTTAACCGATATCATGTATATATTGAAAGTCTCTTTCCTAAAAAAAATCCTTTATTAGTATCTATACAGACAAAACTTGAAGACTTTAGCTATAAAATGTCAATGTTCTTATTTAAAAGGGGTAAAATTCGGCATTTAAAAAGGGGCGAGATTGCAGTGTTACGAGGATTCATTCTGTGGGCATGCTCCAATGATATTTGACAGTTTCATGTATCCGCATTGAACCTGGAAGACATTTTAAATTCACATTTTCAAATCATTTCTCCGGCTACAAAGAAATTAACATTTTCTATTTAAGTTATATATGCACATTCTGTGTAAGACACTTGAAATTTTGGCCGCCTTTAATCATAATAATTTGTATCAAACAATGGGAAAAATACAATTTTCAGTAAGAAACGTCAAAAAGTACCAAAAAAAAAATTATGGGATACTTCTTCGTGGAAGGATACATGTTCATGAATCCATACATTTGTTATCTTTGATATATTGAAATATAGATCCACATACTTTTGCTTAAAGAATATTATCCGTTATTATTCGTTCATTTTTTGTTCAAGGGGAATGACTTGCATTTGATCTTTTAACAAAAATGCATATAGTTTGACCTGTGAGTTTGAGCATAGAGTAAATGAAATGAAATTTAGAATATTTCCGAGCATATCTTTTTCTTATCGAAGTTTTTTTTTTTCAGTGAATATTTTTAATGTTTTAAAGCTGATTTGAGTAATTTTCAATTGTGTATAATTTGTATGTATATAAAGAAAACGAGATACCAATTCAAATATTTCTTGTACATTTATTTACACCAAATGAATACATATTATAGTTATTGCGGCCTTGGGCAACATTTCACCTTCAGGTCAAACAAATTACATGTCCCCCGAATTTCATTTCTATGACTGTATTGTTACACCATTCGCTAAAAATTTAATACACACTGTACCACCAATTACTTTATATGATAAATTTTGGCTTACATAATAAAAGTAACACAAAAGCTGAAAAAGAATAATCAATTATAAAATTATTATATACAAAAAGTACTTATTACAAAACATACTCTTCAAGTATCTCTGTCTTGCAAATACAAGTAGAAACAAAAAATCTTGAAGCTCTTCTATTGTAACTTGGGTTAATAATTAATTATTTGTGACTTTTGACGTTCAACACTGAAATTGTTCGACAAATCTGATAAACATTTTTGTTGGACTATTCATAAGCATATGTTAATATCCACCTTTCAGTATTATGCCAAAATAAAGTACGTAAATGTAAAAGGCATTGAAATGAATTTAGCGTCGTCCTTATTTTCTAATAATAGGCCAAGAAAGTGATTTATGTTTCACTTGTCTCATCTGGTTCAAATTTACATGAAGGTTCCGTTCTGTTCATAAACAATTTCTTTTGTAAGTAATATGCTCCTCCCATTGCAAAAACCTGAACATTTTTTGGTACTATTATTGTGATAGATTTGCCTTTAAACCACTCTTTTTCAGCTTCATCCCAAATCATTTCCAGGTTTGAGTAGGTACCAGTCATAACTACACAATTGACATCCTTGAATGATCCTTCTTCTAAGGTAATCCATTTTTTTATCTCATCTTTCATTTCCTTAAAACATTTTCGTAAGAATTCATGCGTGATGATTAGTTTATTGTTTTTAAGATCAATATCTTTTGTTTCCTTGATTGGCTTTGGCAAGTTTTTCGGCAAGTCTAAGGTATAGGCTGCATTGTCTTTGCTATACTTACTTCTACTTTTGGGAGTTTGTCAAACTCATACAAGATCTTAATATATTCCCTTCTGTGATCTTGTTTCCAGTCAACTACTGCAGGATTTCCATATAAAGAAATAAGTAAATCTGTAAATCTTTCTTGTGGTGTTTTCTTCCATTCCTGGCGTTTATCTTTTACGTTTTTTCTGATCCACTATACTTTTTAACTTTTCGAAACATTAACTCGCTGCATGCTATATTAAAAAAAACAAAAAGAATAAAAAATCGTTATACATGTGTAATTAATGATGAAGTTTTACATTTTTTCCCCTCCAGTATATCAAATAATTATCAATATCTATTAACTCTCAAGAAAAATAGCGTATCGAATGTATGAAACGAAAGATATTCACATTTATAATAATGTTTAATACCAGTCAATGTCTTATTTTTTACTTTGTGACAATAAAAACCCTGAACAAAATTCCCCAGAATTTATCCAACATTCTTATCCATCTAATCATTGATTATTAATGACAATAAACTATGGATGCATATACGAGGCATCATAAATGGTCTATTACATACCGGGTACCTGTAAATAATACACTTTTTTCAATAATAAAATACATTTCTCTCTAAAAATAACTTGATACAACAATTAAATGCATTGAGTATTTACGAACATGTCAACAAGTGCAGTGGAATCAGTGACTGCTTTATATCTTGTTGTATGAGTCTTATTGCCGACATAAATGAATGCAGTCATAACTCTTGACGTAAATTAATATTATAATTTAAGTTTGAAATCGCAACCAAATAGCAGGGGGTATACATGTACCAACGAAAAAGACAGGTGTTTGATTCACTATTAGTTTACTCTATTATTTATTTTCTGGTATTATAATGAATTGTTATTTTTGCATTAGGCCATGGTGAACATTTCACCTAAAAGGTAAGGCAAAGCCTCTTTTATGAAGCTTTAACAATGCTGCAATTGCCCTCATTTTAATGTGTATCATACAGTACCTTAAAATTCAAGTGGATGCATTAGGGTAAGCTAACTTAAAGTAATTTCTTAAATAAAAACAGATATGTGAACAGGGCATGTAATATTAACACTTTGAATTTTCAGAGATGGGATGTGATTCCATAAGTTACGAACTTAAACACAATGTAAAGGTGATATCGGGAATAAGACATTTTCGGTTGGGTGAGCTTTACTATATAGTAACTTCTAAATTTCAGAAAGGAGCGCACTATTTATATATAATAAAAAAAATGTTAAGATTCATTTAGTGTATGCCCTTACGACAGAACGATTTAATGAGTCACCTTGATGTAAAATATACCTAGCCTGAACATAAAAACACAGATGAAATTATTTAAATACATTCTCGAGATAGTTTATGAATAATCGCACTATACAAAGGATACATTTCGTATTCATAGCCTGTACATAATATTCTGTTTTATAATAAAACTCATTTTTCATTGTACGAAAAAATCCTCAATCTGTCTCTCACAGCACATTAAATACGTCAATTTTACCAAAACGACGTCATGATTGACAAGCTCATTAAGATCAGTGATTTGTTTATAAACAGTTGTATGTGATTTAATTAGCATTTTTTTAAAATGCATCGATAAGTTTAATTGTTGTTTATTTTGTTTATACAGATTAAAGTTGCAAATTATTTCATTTTCTGGTATTAGGAGGAATACCGGTACATAAAATTGATATTTTGTGTGACGTCACAGTAAAATTTTCCCGTACTTTTTTTCCCTTTTTCAGCCTTAAATATGCTGCGTAGCAATGTTAGTTTGAGGTTGCGCAGCACTGTTAAGGCCTAATATGAGAAATCGACGGAACATATACGCGCAAAAAAGGGGGATTATTTAAAAACTGAATTTATTTTAATTAAGCTGTTTTTTTATCACAGAACGAAAATACTCATGGAAAAAGCATAGTATAACCCACTCTATACTGTATGAAGTTTTGTCCTATCGATGGACAGTCACGTGATTAATGCTTAGTTTGTGTACTGAACGTAGGTCATGAACAAATTTCAATATCGCAAGGGCATACCCTAGTTGAAATTAAAAATTTAAGCTATTAATTGTTTCTGCATACTTTGTAGTTTCTGAAAAGTGATGCTGCTTTGAATAGAATTCGCATTTTATCAGTTAAATTTTCAAGTAGATAGGCCAATGTCGAAATATGTTTGACTTTTACAAAATAGTTTGTGTACTTATAAAATCCCGCCCTCGATTTAAAGAAAGCAGTAGCACTTTTCAAGTTAAGGAATATATCCTTTACCTATATTCTAAAAAAGGGTTCAGATCTATGCAGTGTATGCCCTTGCGAAAGTTCGATTTTATGAGGCATCTCGATGTAAAATATACGTAACCTGTTCATAAAAACACGACATAATTAATAAAATACATTCTCTCCGTAGTTGATTAATAATCGCACTAAACAAAGGATATACATTGGTATTAATCGACTATTCAAAACCTGTAAATAATGTTCCGTTTAGTAATAAAACGGATTTTCATTGTTAAAAATTCCTCAATCTGCCTTTCACAGCACCTGAAATACGTCATTTTTACCAATATGACGTCATGATTGGCAAGTTCATCGAGATTAGAGATTTCTTTATAACCAGCTGTATGGGATTTAACTATCAACTTTTTTAATGCATTGATAAGTTATATTGTTGTTTATAATGCTAATAAAGTTAAAAGTTACAAATTATTTCATTTTCAGGTATTATGAGAAATACATAAAAGTCATATATGTCTGTGACGTCACATTAAACTTTTCCCGTATAAATTAGGCCCCGCCCCCTTTTTCAAGCCTTAACAATGCTGCGTAAAAAAGAATGTTTTCTCATCATTAACACAAACAGTTCAAAACATAAAGAGAACAAGGAGAATTTGAAAGAGAATGATGATTATTTGTGTTTTAAATTTCACTAACCAACAATTAACAAAGATGGGGCACACACTTCTATTGTATCATTCATCCAGTCATTAAGAACACAGTGATATTCAAAAGAAGAACAGGAATGTGTTTCATCTTGGCAGTTTTTTCGTTTGACAGCATTTAGATGTTCTTCTTCGTTCCTTGGACAAGACAAAACACTTGAAATGGTTCGAAGAGAGTCCTTGCAAGGGACAACATATCCTAACATGCTTCTTGTTAGTGTATAAAAAACCTAAGAGGAAGCAAAATATAGTGTTATTCTGCAGTTAAAGGTACTATATATAAACCCAACTGTTAATTAATGCAACCATCGATAAGTCCACCCCCCTTGTCTTTGTAGAAGGAATTACTGTACGATTTACACATTTATACAGATTATAAATGCTAGCAATTGACATACATTTATCCTAAAGATAATTTTATACTATGTATTATACCAGTGTGCAGAGGTATTTCCTGTTCCATGCATTCCATTTGAAAAACCTAAATTTGAAAAATGAAAAAAAAAATATATAATGATTTGATCGATTATAAGTCTTAATTTTCATATGTTCACAGAGTTATCACAATATCAAACAAATTTTCAGAAATTTTAAAATTCTCTTCGAAGTGTAATGGTTATCACAATAGTTCATAGTGATAATTTTGGTTAATCAAAATCATCGCTAGTAATTTAAAGCGTCAAATTAAAGGTAAATGAAAGTGCTTTGAAAGAGATAATTTATGAAATTCGAAATTTATTTCTACAAATGAATACACTGTATGTATACCATAAGACTTAGCATGTAGGCATTTTCCAGTTTTATGGACTTTCTAATTTGCCAAAAATTATCTGTTGATGCCTTGATTATACAAGTCCATGAAGAATTTTTTTTTATTTATACAACATTTTATTCACAAATAAAAGTGAATGGGATCGGGCAGCAGGTAAAGCCTATTTAATCCCTCTCCTTATGAAGATTGCATGCAACGCATTTTGTTATAGATACTTTTTTGTTATTTTGGTTCAAACTTTTTTAAACCTTTGCTTTTCAATAATTTCTACTTGAAAAATAGTTTTTCAATGAATCAATAATCAATCAATGCTTTTTATAAATTTTATATATTAATCATTTGGTCTATTTAATCAGTAAATCGTGTAAATATAAATGTCATGTCAAAGTCTGGAATTCTTGTTTATTAGTTAGACCTATGAGAAGATGTTGGGGAAATTTTTTTTACAATGATTATGAAACAGTAAAATGTACTACTTTACCTATATAATCAATATACATAAAGATGTGTCTTTCTCTTATTTGGTATTCGGTGATCTAAGTTTTTCCTTTAATCAAATGTCGACAATGAAATCGCATAATATGGCGGCCATATTTTTTTCATAATTTTTATCAAAATATCAACCCCGCAATCTATATACACGTGTGAGTTATTTGACACATATGTTGTCAGATACCTTTTTTCTACCAATATATATTTCAGCCTTTTCAAGCACTTTGTTCAACTTTTAACATTGGTTTTTACATGTATGTTACAGTTACAGTACTTCCATATTTGAAGAGATATACAATGATCATACAAGGATACGTAATCGCATTTTAATTTTAACAGGTTTTGTTGTTAATAAAGAAATTATTCATTTCATGTAAAAAACAAAGTACATAGGTTATACTCAAAATATCCAGTCATCCCTGCCTTTTTAACATTAAACGGTTTTCAGGTTGTAGCTCAGCCGATTTACACAACTTTATCGATTTTTACAAAAAAATAGGTCAAAAATGTGCAATTGTTGAGTTGTGTAGTATTTAAAAACGTTACATAGCAACAATCAAAATAAAATAATTTATTTTTCAAGACTTCCATGATGATTCCTCGGAATAATGTTGTTCATTACATCTTTTGTGTTTTTGTGATTATGGAGCAAAATTAAGAGCAGGAACTTTCTTTACCTGCTGGTATTTTTAATCGTCAGATAAAATGTGGAATGCACTTAAACCAGGTCAGTAAACCAAGTCAGTAAACGCTTCGAAGAGGAAAATTTATCGCAATAGGTGAGGGCAGTAAACAAACGGACAAAATCACATTACCCTAAAACCTAGCATGTTTTGCTTGAATGGGAAAGCATGCTATCCTCTCTCTATGAAAAGGGGCAATAAAGTACATATTCACTACTAACTATGATTCATGAAATGGTAGAACTTAGATTTAAGTTTGAATTAAAATAAATGTTCATGATTATTTTGTCCATGCATACATATTTTGTACATTTTGAAAGATTTTTTTTTTATCAAAAATAAATGTATTTCATAAAAGAATATTATGTACAACTTACTATATTGCTTGTTTACGGGCGATAATTAGTTCGTTCTGCATTCTATTATGTAAATTGCGCTTTTTCATTTTATTTGGATTTTAATTAATAAATTAAGAAAAAAAAAACAAGGGAAATGCTTAATTTACAAATAACATTCCGATAAAAACTTACAAAACGAAATTTACACGATTCAAAACGCACGATCTCGCACGATTAAAAACGCACACGATTGAGTCTGATACACGAACGATCTTGCACGTTACATGAACGATCACTCACGATACACGAACTACAAGGTGAAGATTAAGAACATGATCAATTTTTAAAATAGTAATCTATAATCATAAGAAGTTTGTGAACATGAACCATGGAAATACAAGACATGAGATCAAATGCTTTTAAGAAATATATGTCCTCTGTTAACCGGTTCAAACAGCTCTGAGCCCTGTGCATAAATCAAGTAAACAGATTTTTCCGCAGTGAAATAAAGTATAAAGAAGTGAAAGTAAAAAATGTTTTTTAAGATCTACTTATTTGTATGAAAAATGTCTGTCAGCTTAATTACTGCTAAACGGCCAAGTTAAATTTTCAAATGATAATTGTCGATCTCCATTTTTGTGTCACTTGCACAGCAGAGGGGCACTGAGGGATCACTACACCCGGCCTCTGTCTTTCTGACACAGCCTCTTTGTCAAGTTAACAGAACTGTAAGTGGTATGGATTTGAAATTTTCCACATATATTTCTTGGCAGTTTGACTTTTGCAATTCAATGTCCAAATTAATACAAAACATATTTCTTGCATTTAATGTGTAAGTCTATCTTATTTAGCATGTGTTTGTTTGTCAATATCGACATTATTACCAGCACTACATTAAGCTTGACCTTGACCTTTGACCTACTTTGCCAAAAATACCCCGGGCAGTTATCAAACATGTGTTTTCTTTTCTATTCAAGGCTTTTTGATATCAAACATACATTCCTTACGATTAATTAAAGTCCAGACCTTTTTCACAGCTACTTTTTAAAATAAAATGGTACGCATAAATTTACTAACCTTGGCATTGGTCATTTGCATAATAATTATAATGTAAACAACATTTTGATTGTACAAACAAGTACTCTGAAGTTGACATCAAAAAGATGATTGTGTTTCTGATTGACAATATCTATGTGACTTTTAGAGATCAGGTCTTCTAACAATCTAAACTTTTCTATCTAAACTTCCCTTACTTATGCAGCAATATTCCATTCATCACCTGCATACAGAGTTTATGTACATGCATCTCAGTGGATTCGATACCCAAGACCATCCTCTAGGTACGTATATGAACAATTTCTGAAACAAGGTGATTTTTTTTTTCATTTAAAAAAGTCGATGAAATAAGAATCTTCAGTTTTGTTTCAAGTCATCGTTTCATAAGTTGTATGGTCGATACATATAATGATGACCTTGTAAGCAAATACATTTTATCATTGGATCAAATGCTGATTGACATTTTTCTAACTATGTGGGTTTGTTAAGGCAGCACATGGATCAGAATTCGGCGAATGAACACTTCTTTTATAATTATGTTACACTGACAAATCGGAAAAGTCAAGGAAAAAACTTTTGCAGTGATTATGCATTCTTTTGACTTCAATGGGACTTATACTACAGGAAGCATTTCACCACGACGTCACCACATCTTTAATTGGAAAATATGCCTTAATGAAAAAGTGAAAAGTTCAACACTACACCGGGGATAATTAATTTCAATTTGTAATAATAATTATGTAAAAAAAAAATCTCTGTACCATGAATCCTACTATCCTATCACAGAAATAATTATTATTCAACATTTTCGGACGAAACCTTCCCAAGATTTGTACATTTTGTTCATAACATCGAAAAAATTGCATATGATCGGCATGTAAACACCCTCACTTTAATTTTACGAAGAAATTGTAGAATTATATCAGCATACCTTATTCATAAACTTTATTCCCACCTGAATCACACATGATATTCATTTAAATGCTTTTAAACTCCAATTCCTTGTGTTTGTTAACATTAGTTCTCGTTACGTTTTACTTTCACTCTGCCACTGCATAATCAACAGTTATGACGTCATGGGTTTGGTATTTAATCTTTGTGATAACTACAGAAACCCAGAAACGACAAAATTCCGCTTATATTATTCCTCTGTATATTTTGATTCATTTTTACGACCTCAAATACATCTTAGATATCGATATTAATATCTCTAAACTTCACGTCATATAGCTTACTATGACCTCATATCATATAGACAAGTAGAATATTTGGTTGTAACCTTAACAGAAAGTGTAGTCTTAAAAACAAACACATTTTTCCAAAAAAGTATAGAGTTATCTTTATTAGTTATCCGATATACTTTATGTTTTGAAAAAAAAAATGTATATAAATCTGAAAAATAATTGAAATACGTTGCCTTCTAAAACATCACACCGTTTTTAATGTATTACAGATCATAAGGCACAGATCTAAGTGCTGTATTTAATATATGTTCATTTATTTTTTAAAGTTATATGTTGAATGCAAAATATATATTGAATAATAGTCAGTCCTTTTTCCATATTATTCATACTTTCAAAGTGTCATACTTACTTAATTGAAAAAAAAAACAATGCTTTTGTAATGCTGAATAAACATAGGTAACAGACTTTGCTTATCCCTTTTCTAACCCATACTTATTTCCTAACTATTTTTTGAACTATTTTGTTTGTAGAATCTCACCTTTTCCTCATTTTCTCTGTTCAAGATTTCATCTCTTAAACGGGTCTTAGCTTCCTCACTCCAATACGTTGGAACAACAAACACAAAATGCAACCGGGATCGCATGTCACTTGAGAGCTTTTTGCAAGTATTTAATGCATTATGCAGTCGTTTGAGAATATGTCTAATTGCTTCTTTATAATTTTATGAATACGTATCTCCCTGTAGAAAAGATATATTTTAGTTTATTCATTTCTCGTTCCAATTTCTTTTCTCTTGTGTTCGAGATCTAGAGGGCAGGACAGCACTTACTTTTTTTTTATAAGTATCACATTAATTTTAATTTTTTTTATTTTAAATATCTTTTTTACTAGATATTAGCATCTTCAAGGAAATAAAATCAGTTATACCAGATTCCTTTCAGGTTCAGTGAAATAAGAAGACACGTTTTAATGCTTGAGTACAGAAATCATTCAAAGTGTAAGTATTTCTTATAAAAAAGATTATAATCAGAATGTATATACCGGTTCCATGCTCTTCAAATTCTACACCTCTAACCATCCCTGAATTCAATCTTGAACACTCTAGTGATATCCCAGTTACGTGTGATTTTAAATAAATCAGGTAATGGCATTAAAGATAATAAGCATGAAAAATTTCAATGCTTTAATCGTAGGGATATGCACATTATACGTTAATTGTTAGATCATCACTTCGCGTAAGCGGGCCGGTAAAACAGATGTTTGCCACCGTTACAGGTAAATCAGCATTAATGGTCGCAAATACCAGATTAGAAGATTAGCTATTCTCGATTCTAATGTAATCCATGCATTTTGTTTGTTGTTAGTCTTACTTTATACTAATATAAGAGGGTTTAGCAGAAATATTTGGGGGGAAATCTTTATGGAATAAAAATTATGAAATAAAGGATGTTCTAACAAATGTATATTTTTCAAAAAAAAAAAACAATGCTTCCCAGCCCGCAATTGCCGGTATAAAGAGTTAACTTGGTTGAATTATGAAGGAATATGAGCATGTTGATCCCAAATATGGTGACCAACGGCAAATAACTCTAACTTGTTAAGGTCTACTGAAAACTTTCTACTGAAGTACAAAACTTAAAAATTACAGCTGAATTTATTTGAAAAATACCTTATTCGGACGTTTTCTCTTTTACTGTAAGCAAGTTAAACACAAAGTAAAAATAGTACATCGGGTTCGTTGCCACGATGCTCTCAGTAAGGAAAATACAATTTTTACCGAAAACTCATTACAAAAACAAATGTTCTACATATGCATTGCAGTCTTTCGATATAAATAAAAGACTTTGTTCGGAGCTTATGCATCATTTCGGACGTCTCCGTAAGCGCAGAACTCGCCAAAATCCATATAAAGTACGCAGATGATTAAACTGCATTGAAAAAAGCACAAGCTGAGATCATCTACAAACAGCAGTTAATCAAGATGGACCTTGAACCTTTAACAGAAATAAGTGCAGTTAAAGAAATGTATGCTAAGGACAGCACTAGTTAAGAGGATTGAACAGATGTTAGTTCGTGGTGTTTGATTGAATACAAGCCGCCATCTGTAATGCTGAAAAGGAGAATATTCAGTCAGTTTATTTATCAGCTGAGACACCAGCATTCGTTCCGAGACACATGGAGCATTAGAGATGAACTAACTTATCACCCTGTA